CCCCCAAAACCCCAAAACCCCAAAACCCCTAATCAGGGGATATATATTGAACTAGGGGAGATAAATAATAAGTTTAGTTAAAAAATATGGATTCATTGTTAATTAGGTGGAAAAAGAGGAATAGACACGGTGGTATTATTCCTAAACAGAAAATGTCAGATGCTAAGAAGTTAAAGGTAATTTAGAGGGTTGGAAGAGGCATGGGGATGGTTTTTAGTGGTAATATCTATCAATCGGAGGGTTTTGTACTGCCAGGTTTTTGGAGAGGCGAAAAAGGAGTTCGAGAAGTTGAATTAGGGTTGAATAGATATTTTGGTAGTTTTAATGAGCCCAAGAATTATACTAAGATTCTCCCAATATGATATCTTTTCAAAATTTCGAATTTCTCAGCTAACTTTTAAAATCTTGGTGAATATAGACAAGTATCAAAACTATGAGAAAACCATTTCTACAGCTCTCCTTACTCACTATAAAATATATCTGAACCCAGAAGTCTAAGCCTCTAGATCCCTTTCTTATCGCTTCTTCTCTATTTTTCTTCTAAATTTCTCCAAAAACAATTACTAATAAAATAGGAAAGCATTGAAAAGTTGGAATTAGAAAAGAATGATGATGAATTCTTAAAAAATCTTGGTAATGACATCGCCGAGATAGATCTGAGTGGGGAGACAACTAAGGTAGGACTCTCTTCTTATTTATAGATAAGAAAAAGAATAAGCACTCTTCTTAAAGCTGAGTCTTCAAATGTAAGCGTCTCATCTAGAATCGAGATTTAAATGATTAGATAAATTTTCATATTAAAATAGGGTATTTCATGAACAATGGAATACTTGGTGAAGCATATTTCTTCTCTTTTCATGATCCATAAAGAATGATAATTGGAGAGCCTTTAGATATGCAGCTTTAGGTCATGCAGGGCTATAACACAGAACCAAACTCACTTGTGATTATAATATCTCCAAAACTAATTTAGATATGGAATTTCATAGATTAGGAATATCTTTCTCAATGATTATCTCTGCTCTAAAGATGAGCTAAAATATGATTTCTAGAGTAAAAACTAAGTTTGCACTCCTCTCGTAATCTTTGAAAGATCATAATATCCTCAGTCAAGAGTATTATTATACGAATAAATTTCTTCATTCTCTTGTTATTTTTGAAGACTTTCTTCAGGATTTTATCAAAATTTGTTTGACTTCTAATGAGTATATATTAGGAAGATTATTACAGTCAATCAGAAGGGATAAAAACAGAGAAGATCTCTGAAAAATCTATCCAAGAGTATTTCTTTAGCTCATCCATAGGCTTCTATCCAACTTTGATTCGGATCAATATAGTGTGGAAGTTTGCCCTCCTAAAGAATTGGAAGCGAAGTTCAGGTATCATTGATACACTTATTCTTATTTAAATATTTATTCAAAAGTTTATACGATTTTTAGAAGAAGGAGATCTCGAAGAAAATGCAAAGCATCATTTGTACCTATAGTAAGAACTATTTTTTAAGGTTATTCATCGATTTTAGCTCCCAATCGATGCTGAGGAAATCAAGGAAGAGCCAGATTATGAATCTGATCAAGATATTGAAGAGGTATACGAACATGGTGAAGAAGAGAAAGACAAAAACGTTGGTTATATGCACTTTGAGTAGGCCTTTAAAATTATTCATTTTAGCCATCTTGAACCAATTATGGAGATGCAAAGTTTTGATGAAAGAGGATCCTACTCATGAATCCTCTCGAAGACTCCTTCTCTAGATTACCATGATGCTGAACTGTATGAATTTAAAGAGCTCACCAGCAGCAAAGGTAAGGACATACTTTCATCATACAGCCCTCATTAATAGAGTTCCTTACACATTCTTGAAGAACACAAGTAAAGCTTTGAAGTGTAGTATCCGTAATCTCAGAAGAAAGAGTAAATCTGCTCCTAAAATTCCAAAATTCAAGAGAACAAAGGCTGCCATTATTCTGAAGAAGAGGTCTTTCAGAAATAGATAGTCTATTTTAACGTTATCAATGATAATTTACTATCCAGGGGTTTTGGGGTTTTGGGGTTTTGGGGTTTTGGGG